GGCCTATAAATACCCCTCAAATCTTAGCTGAGATAACAACTTTTTGAGAAGCAATTGATTGAGAGAAAGGTCTTAGAAAAGTCTTAGCAAGTCTTGTTTTCAATTTGCTAGTGTTCACCTCCTTCTTTCTTGCTGAAAATCTGTAAGAGAGTGAACCACTTGTAAAAAGTTGTAGGAGGGATATTTGCCCTTCCCTTTCAAGAGATTTGCTAGTGGAAGGTGGGAGCCTCATCGAAGAGGGCCTCGCAAGTGGATGTAGGTCATTTAACCGAACCACTTTAAAATCGGCGTGATATCTGGTTTGCATTTCATTATTGCTATTTACATTACTGCAAACCTTCTTACATGCTTTAATTCCTCATTACCTTTGCTGCACAAGTTTACGAATACGCTTTCAAGTTAAGCACTTCCGAGTTCGATTTTTATCGTACGAAAGATTTGTCAAAACCGTTGTTTTAATCCGCTGCACTAATTCACCCCCCCCCCCCCCCCACCCTCTTAGTACCGCTCCAATCCTAACACTTCCTACTTTAATTGTCTCTTCCTGATCGAAGCATCCTGCGTCACTCAAAACGCAAATCAAATCATAAATATTATCAATTGTTTTCATCATCAAAATCCGAGATTTGACACTTTAGATCTATTAAAACGATTTAATATGGATAGTGCTAAGGCTATTAATATACCAATGAGCACTTCTACAAAATTAGATATGGATATTGATGGAGAATGTTTTGATAAAAAAACCTTATAAGGGTATAATAGGTAGTTTACTATACCTCACAGCAACTAGACCTGATATTATGTTTAATATTAGACTTTATGCTAGATTTCAATCTAATCCCAAGCAATCTCACTTTAAAGCTATTAAAATGTTTTTTAGATACCTAAAAGGAACTCCTAATCTAGGATTATGGTATCTAAAATTTAAAATTTTTAAATTAATTACTTATGTCAATGCTAACTTTGCTAGATGCCAAATAGATAGAAAATCCACATCTGGAACATGTCAACTCTTAGGTCATTTACTTGTTTTTGGTCCTCAAGGAAATAAAATTCTGTAGCATTATCTATATCTAAGGCTGAATATGTAACATCAGGTATATATTGTGCACAAGTTATTTGGATGAAAAATACTTTAGAAGATTATAGACTTTACTTGAAAAATATCCCTATAAAATACGATAATACTAGTGTAATATGTTTAACAAAGAATCTCATTCAATACTTTATAACTAAATATATTGATACTATACATTATTTTATTAGAGATCATGTTGATAATCATGATATATCTTTAGATTTTATTGATGCAAAACATCAATTAGTATATATTTTTATACAATTATTGAATGAGGAATAATTTGATTTTATTAGAAGAGAATTATGCATGTTAAAACTTCTAAATGCATGAATTATTCTTATATATATTTTCGAATCATTATTTTGATTTCTCGGCTTTTATGACTTGAGTTTTTTTTTTTAATCAATAAATGACTCATGATCTTTTGATATTCTTGACATGAGTCTTTTTTTGAATCAAGATCATTTCTTATGAATATCTCTTTTCACTATTTACAAAAGAAGACTTGTCAAAATGATTCATAATATTTTGGATTTATGACTTGATCTTTCATTCGTTCATATGATAATTGAAATTTTTGCACCATTGAATTCTTTCCCTCTTTTTCTTCTTTTTTTATAATAACAAAGGGGGGGAAAAGAAGTGCTAGTTGACACATCTCAAGAGAAGCAAAAGTGCTAGCTTGCACATCTAAAAAAACTTACTAGCTTATATGTTCTAAAGTAATGTAAAACTTACTAGCTTGCACGTTCTAAAATGATGTAAAAACTTGCTAATTTACTAACTTATATTCTTTTTCAAAAATTTGCTAGTTGCACTTTTATCCTTTTTGTTGATTACAAAGGGGAAGAAGTAATGATGTAATAATATTTTTAAAATGTTAAAAGTTTTGGTATCATTGATTTTATATTATGCATTGAAAATGTTAAATATTTTGGTATCATTCATGATCTACCTAAGTTTTGGCATCATACTTGATGATTTTATATTATGTATGATGATTGTTTAAAAATATTAATGTTTTGGTATCATGCATGATATGCCTAAGTAATGATTTTATATCTTGAAATTATGCATGCAATACTTCACAATGATATACATATGATATGATGTGTTATATATGATCACTATGATTCATGATTGTTTTAACTTGAATTTAAAGATATTATGATTAGAATGTCATCGTTATTTTGAATTCAAAGTTTATTTCGATATGATATATAGATAAGGGAAGTTTAGTTTAAACTCCATCATCAATTGATTATCATCATAAAAAATGAGATTATTGAATCCCAAATTTTAATGATGAAATCAATTGATGACTTTACAATCTAATATGTGCTTTTAGAAATGTAATGCAAGATTAAATTTGATCATGAAAAGGCAAAACAATTAAAGCAGTAAAATTGGACCGGAAGAATCGAACGTTGCGCCAAGATCGGACAACGTTGTGGGAGTCAACATACCGATGGATCAAGTGATACGCCAAGGTTCGGACGACACGTCGGAAGTTCGTTAGGAGTTCGGATGAACCAATGATATACCAGACAACTTAGATTCTTATCTTGTAACCCTACTAAGTCAATTAGGGGCCCATTGGGCCTGATTTAGGGCTGAGTTGGGCCCATTGGGAGGCACATTCAATGACCCAAGTTTAGGTCAGGCAGTGGCACCGCCTATGTGTTGGAAAAATGAAATGTACTTCTTTCGAAAGACTCGATGATGATACTACCTAAACACAGTCTCCTAGACTATCAAGCGATGGTACCACTCAGATTGGCAATAGTACCGTCAGTACACATAGTCTCCCATGTGTCAAGTGGTAGTACCACTTGGACTAGGCGGTAGTACTGCTAGTTGTTAATCTAGCAGGCAATAGTACCGCCCAATACTGATAGTGATACTGCTAGTACCCTGAAAACCTAGGATGAGATCTTTTTTTGCTCTATTTTTTAAGTCATTTAAAACCTATAAATACCCCACTCTTTCTTGGTTGAGAAAACATAAAAAGAGAACAAAAAGCTTGGTGATTCTATATTGTAAAGTTTTGAAAAGTGCTTAATGTCCCCCTCCTCTTTAAGTTTTTGGCTTATTATAAAAGAGGTGTGAAACTTATAAAGATTGTCTCCTAAACCTATGAAAAAAAAGAATGGTAAGAAGATAATTGATCTTTGCCTATTGAAAGAAGATCATTAATGAATGTCTATGACCTCAACGGAAGAAAAATCGGGAGTAGACATAGATAGCAATGACTGAACCACTATAAAATCGATTTGCATTTACTTTTTATTTTTCATTAATATTACTTGGTGATTTAATTATCTACAACACTACTTGTTCACTATGCTTACGAATGCTTTTAAATTAAACATATTTTCGATACAATTTCATCGAACAAAAATTTCAAACCAACATTTTTACAAAAATACTAATTCACCGCCAGTATCGAAACGATCTGAACAACCTTATGTCTCGTAACAGCATATCACGAAAACACATGATTCTCATTAAAATTGTTCACGGTTTAAAAAAAAAGTTAGAAAGAAATAATGAAAGAAAGAAAAATAAGAAGTGAATGCACTTCTCAACTTCTTTTAGCAATCCTACATTCGGAACATAGCAAAATTGTTACAAGACAACATTACCAGGGCATCAATTATTTGTACTGGCAACTGAATCAGCTAACATAAGGCACTAATAATGGAATAGAAATGGTTTCAATTCAAACAAGTCCTGGTTAGTGAATGGCAGGCTACCAGCTACAGCCAAGAGGATAATCTGGTATTACCTCCTCTCAAGATTGGATTGGAATGCACATGCATCATATAAGCAAAATGCCCATAGGTGTCACACTAGATGGAAAGGTGCAATCGAAAATCAGTGAAGGCGATGCTTTAAAACAAGAAAATCAACCTTCTCCAGGACTAGGTGTAAGTTGTTTCACAGAAGACTTCTTGTTCAACCATAAAATCACCATCTCTAGCCTCCAACAACACATTCATGATGCTTTCCTGCATTGCCTATAAAAATAAAAGTGAACACAACTAAGATGGAAGTGTTGAACAATTCTGAAAGATTGAATCTAATAGCCAATAACAAGATAAACTAAATATTTTTACTCAGAACTTCCAGGTACTCAAGCTCTACCAGAATCTAAGGCTATCTGTTTGATGCTTCTACAGGAAGCTAAGAGGGGTCATCACAAAAGTGATATTCAATAGAAGCCAAATCATTACCAAGTAGAAGAATTCACTGGAGTATATTTATACAATAGGGAAATTCTGAGTGTCCGTTACACCCAGTAACAGACAACCATTGATCACAGAAGAATATCTGCGCCAATTCCCTGAGTTGCTACCTTGGTATTAATTACATAAAGAAAATTTAAGAATACAATATGAAATACAGCACAGTATTTAGCCTAAGTTGCAAATGGAAAATCAACATTACATTTCAATTCACAATAGATAACAAATTCTACAAAACTTACCAGAATGACTACTTCATGATTGTATGGCACTAATGAGAATGGAAGAGTTCCCAAGTGAACAGATATGATTACCTTAGGCACCTCAAGTTCTCTGACAACAGGTACAAGTACTTGCTGCTTATCTCTAGCTTCTGGGTATTGATCCATGGACTTGACCCTTGCGAGGGCTGTCTGCAGCCAGCTTAAGATTGTTTTCTTCCATAGTCATCCTTATGGGCCTTTGCATGGTCTGTCTCTCTGATGGTGCCTCTGCTCGAAAACCATGCAATGTATGCAGCTTTTGCCTCCACAACAATATAGTTTTCTCCACATTCCTACTGACATTTTTTTATTGAGAAAACAAGATTAAACATAGACAGGAACTAAAGATAAGGAAAGATAATGACATTTAGATATTTACCGGCAACAAAATACTGCCAAGTGATGGACTGTCCATCCATGCATATCTGTGAAATTAACATCGACACTTGTGGCTACAATTAGTTTTATAGTCCAATTATAATCCAGAGCTACCACTAGATGAACACATCCTGTCCATTCTCATCTAATAAGATGCCGAGGATACCAACGGCTAGTTTCTAAAGAAGCCAACTCATGAAATAATTCAAATGACTGTTTTCTGTATGAGGGGAAAAGTCCTCATTGATTTCCTTGAGCAGAGTAGAAGTTTCACAATCAGCTTCCATGGTGATAATAATAAATTTTACTGCCTAATAAGTTTTCTCTGTAAGGTTTTGGTTCCTAGATTTTGGTAGTCAAGTGGTTCCCAAAATAGTAACTTGTCTATCCACACAGAAAGAAGCATTACATTTGCACTGCAACTATAGAATTTGGAAATCTTCATCAGAGTGAGAGTCACTTGTCCGAATTTAAATTCTCACAATTCACTACAAGAAAACCTATTGGAACAGGTGTCAGATAATGGAACCCTTCCAGATTTATGTGGAGGAGATTGACACTGAAAAGTTCCATCAGCTAGAAGCTCTGCTAATATAAAATATCCCAGCAATTGAAACCTGCCACATAGACGCGATAGTGCTGAAATGATGGTTCAAAATTAGAAAAGAACAACTATGTTAATCTGATTCCATCAAGAAGACTAATCTGCTTCAGAAATACACAAAAAGAATATTAATACCGCACACCATAGTCTCCAAGCCAGCATACACATAATTTGGAGAGAAACCAGTAGGCTGTACAACAGGTCTTAGGAAAGTGTGGGACTCCTTGCATATGGATCTACATGACTGTAGTTTGACATGATTGGATCTTCAATGACATTTTCACTTCCAATGACATTCCAGACGATTCCAGAATTGGATCTCATATGCAAGTGATCAACTTCACCAAAGTCTTTGCTCATCCACCTTAAGAAGCCATCATATTTCTTTATTCTGTGTTAGAGTAGTTGAATGATAGATGTTTCACAAGAGCAGTGCAATCGATACTATCCTCCATAAATGTGATATTTTCAAATTCAATATTTGACATATCAAGTGAATTAATGTCAGCATTAGAAATCTTCAATGCAGAACTTTTCTGAATGATATAATCATTTCTTCAGCTACAGTCTATTAATGAGAGCTACAACAGCAAAGAAAACTTCTCCAAACAAACGCAAAGGGAAATGCTGATATACCACGAAGACATCTACAAGATTTCCATATTCAGCAATGTTTCCTACACACACTTTGTCAAACACCCACAAGTTCAACGAAATATTAAATAATGATGATTTATTTTCTTTTAGCAATGGTGGCTAGATGTTAGAATATTAATTTGGCACATTAGAGGGGCTGATTGGTATTGAAAAGGGAAGTTAACCAAATCAAAACATGTGTTTGACTGGATGTCCAACAAAGTTGGTGTATAAAGTATTAAAGCATTCTAGCATATTCTATCACTACGAAAGCAAGGCGAGGGATTAGCACAAGAAGGCCACTCTCATGAATAAGAGCCAAAAACATGGTAGCCATTCATGATGTGCTTCCAGAAGAAACAAACTAAATTAGTGCAGCAATGACAAATTTGTGGTGGTTTAGACTGGTACAGGCTTAGAATGTAAATCCCAAATTAAACAATTTTCAGCATGTTAACTAGTCAGAAATATCCTGTTTACTAATTAGTTGTGTCCTACAAGTTAACACTCAATTTTGTGCAATAAAAGCAAAAAGACAATATTCAAAGAAAAAAGAAGACAGAATTCAAAGAGAAAAAGGAGATGCAATATCAACAGAACTCTGGACCAATGATTCTTTTTTAACACAAATGTTTCACTAAGCAGAAAAAATAAGCAATGCAAACAATAAAAAGCTCATTTTAAGAAGCTATGCTTTAATACAGCATATAATGTAGAAAAACAGCAAATGAAAACATCATACAGTTCTAAGCATGAAATCAAAAGCACAATATGTTATTTAACTCTGATGGTTGGTAAGAGATTTATGGATGGCAAAGATGGGAGAATAAGGTTAAAATGCCAAGAATTCCAGGAATCTTTAGCCATAGTTAACAAAGCTGTCGACATCCCAAATATTAGCTAAGATGATGTATTTGAGAAAATCAAGGCACAGGAAAGTATAAAAGTCAATCACCTACATTATTAAGCTCAAGTGAAAATATAGTCATTCAACATTTGTCTTATCTCTCGGCAAGATCAACCTGCTCTATTTAGCATTTTAGTTCTGGCCTACAATGAAGTAAAATGTAGCCACATATAAATATATACAGTACCTGCAAAGTACTTTTCCTGTGAACGGGTGACGTTATCCATGGTGCTGAGATCATCTGCATATAGGACCCAAGTATCAAAGATTGAAGTCTTAGATTGTCGTCCATGGTGGCAACCTGTGATCCCCAAGTATTAAAGATCATCTGGAAGCCTTTTGCACATTGTTTCAGGATTTCATCCCAGGATGTTAGATCAAACAAATTTCTGGACCTGCTAAATCCAAGGTCTGCTACATCTAGAAATTAAGTTGTATCCTCTTGAGCACTCGAATTATTTTCAGCAGCTTGAATTCCAGGGAAATCAACTGGAAAATTTTAAGCATGGAGTATTTGAATCAATAAAACATATTTCAGTTTAAGTTCCAAAACCAATTGGAAACATGGAAAAAACATCTCACATAGGCTATCTACAGAAGGAATGGTTACATAAGGGCCAAAGAGTTGAACAGCCATCAGTCATCAATCATCATGCTGCCACATCTCAGCGACAGGGTGGTATCGGGAACTTGTTTGATAAATATCTGCTGCATCAAATTTCGCTTCATGTATGCTGAAATACAAGTTGCATGATTGTATATAATTAGAGAATTATACTGTTAATATGATGCACAGTAGATAATAATGTAGCAAAAGCTTGTACCTGATTCAGCATCTTCATACTCTGAAGTGTGTGCACTACTGGGGCTATCAGTATCCATGGTTTGTGAAGGTGGTTGACCCTGACTAGTGGCAGAATTAGAAGTGAAAAGATTATCCATTTGGGTGACTTGCACAACTTCTTCAACATCTTTAGTATAGCTGAGACTTGGTTTATCCTGAAGATATGGCAATCAATAGTTTCAGGTTCATTACAAATTTACAATTTAATAAAAAGCAAGCATCAAATGAAGGTATAAAATAATAAGATGATCTTTTAACAAGTATCTCTGAGTATAATCAACAAAAATTTTCCAGGTAACTTTGGGCCACTAAGAAGCAGTCAAATACAGTTATGTACAAAAAGTATGTTGCATATCAAAACAAGATATTCTTTTTTTTTTACACAAGCCAAATAATAGCTGTAATATGATAAGGACATCACAAGGATAATATAAAATTAAAGCAAAGAACCAAAAGAATTAGTAGAGGAACATGCTCAACATAAGTTACTTACAATTCCACGGCGGCCTAGAACTTTGGAACAGAAGTCACATCTCATGAAGGCAAAACAAGAAAAGTCAAGACCAATCATTTATGCATAAAATTTCATTAGAACATCAACATACCGATAAGATAATAAATTCAAGGTTTCTAAAGTTAGTTAAGATGAAAAAAAAATCAATCCACTTTGGCTGATAATTCCTAATTGTATAGGTAGGACAACTCAAACTAATTGATGCCAGTATGGTCAGAATTAAATGATCCGTTTCTTTCCATGTCAATCATATTGTTGATCATGGTCAATAGCAGAATATTATGACCAATTCTGAGAAACCTCAACCAAGAATTTTGGCTGATTCCTAGATGATTCTAATTTATGGCCAATCCTAGGGTCTTCTGGTCAATACTGATGCAGTTTAGCCAATGTTGACTGACTCAATATAGTCTAATAGATCCTAATCAATTAACTGATCCTGTCCAATCTCAAACTCATCCTAGTATGAACAAATACAGAATAATATTAATCCGATAATCTAAAATCAATATATTTCTCTCACAAATCTACTTTCAAGTATGTCCATATCAGGTGAAACATATCAAGCTGACAACATACCGATATTCGGTATACAGATATCAATATCAATATAGGGAAATGACTGTCCCAGCTTATGTGTTAACCCAGTTAAGATTATTCGGATTATAATCAAACATAATCAGACTGGTTCCATCCATTTTTTTTCAAGAAAAGGGCTTGTCTCATCTCTTCTTAGGGTTTCACGATGTAATTCCTAACCCATAGCTCCATCATGATTCTAGTTGAGTGACCTTGCACCTTTGACCTCATGCAATACACCCCTTTTTCTCTCACTAGTCCTTCCTCTCTCCTCTTTCTAGCAGCATTTTCATCCTTCTGCCTCCATGGTTGCAGATGTCAAACCACTGCAACCCCACAAGACTGAGGTCAAATGGAGGATGTAGTAGGACAGATATGGTCTCAAGATTTGTTCAAGTATTCTACTTATTTAACTTTGAACTTTTCTTAGACTTGCCTTGGTGTTCCTAAATTCTTCAGGCATGCTCATAACAGTCCATCAGTTAACATAGAAATATACGAGAAGCATTCATCTGTGCAAAAATCTTATGGCAAAACAAAGATCCTCCATAACATATTACAAAAGTGAATATGAAGCTAATCAAGACAATAATGCAGAAAATTAATATATGTCATTATTAACTAACATAAGTAAACAATAGAAAAAAACAGTGATCACGAGTAACTTTCATGACATTCTGACACAGGAAAAATAATAACCACAAGAGGCATCATATATACTAACTGCAACATTGAATAAACATGATACTAAAGATAAAAGAGGTCAATGCAATTAGTTAAAAAGCAAGATTAATTACAACCTTGACTTCACGATAATGTACAAGAACAATGTGCATGAGCTCCCTGCAACAAAAGACAAATCAATAAATATTTAGCATAGTCTAATATCAAAGTATAATAATTTCAAAATATATAAGCTCATCTGCATTAAATGACTCTCCATTAAGGTTACAAAAATAAGAAATGAAAGTAATGCAAAAAGCCACAATTATAAAATTAACAACTTTTTGCAGATAAGCACGAGTCAAAACCTGTGTTCTTTTGGAAACTGAACCATTTAATAATTATGAACATTGATGCTTATGTTGTCTATTTTGTTTCCAGAATTTTTTCTTCTCCTGTTATCAACAACTAAGCTTTCATGGGAGAAGAGTAATTGATAAAAGAAATAATGTAGTAGCCTAGGTAAATAATAAAAATGCATAGAAAACAAACTTGGTTCCCTTCAACTAGCATTTAGGATAATTAGGCATTTCCATTTTTCCAAGACTAAACAACAAGAAGCAAGTGAAGAGCATATTCATCCAATGGAATGTAAAATATGACAGCTAGACATGCTATTTTAAAGGGTTTCCATAAATGCAGGAGGAAACTATTGGCCTCAATAATGTTAACAGTGGGTACTCAGCATACAAATAAATTAACATCATTATAATTTGTTTGGAAGTCTAAAACTAAGAGTCCCGAACCATTTACACAGTAGAATATAGATACATGTCCAAGAAAAGACTAGCATTGGTCACTTACAGCATTTAGAAAACCACAAAACACTGGTAAAGTTTCTATGTTTATATTAGGTACTTAAATGGCAAATGTAACCTTGTATAAATACAAATAAAGAAGGTACATATAAAGTTCACAACAATGAAGTTCATTAACTGAATCTTTCACAAACAATTGTTCAGTTTATAATATAACGACTTCATTGTTATTCATACGCCTCCATTCTTAAAACAAAATGAACTTGTTATAGTAAAGTATGCATCATCATATCCTCCAAGCTCAATCTAAGGTGCATAGCATCAACATGTAAATGAATTGGCAAAATAATATGAAAAAGAAAAGGTCATGATATATTTTAGACATGATGGCATTAATAATATCCATCTTGGGTCCAACAGACCTAGCAATTGTCCTATTAACAACATATAAACCATGTTATAAGTAGTCACAAAAAATAGAGTGACAGTTACATTTTAGAAATACTTCCAGAATCAACAAAGCATGAGTATGATAAAACTCAACCAACAGAAGTTGTTGCATTGTGGAAGGAGGTATAGAATATGAATCATGATTTCTGTTTTGTAACCTATAAATATGAGAGAATAATCTGAACCTACTCATCCAACATCCAATAACTCCGTCTTTGAAATTTTTCGTTCTCCTCACCATGAGCATAGTAACAATGGAGCATATCCACACTTCCAACCTGAAATCATGAACTTCAGTTCGGTTAGATTTTGAAATATTGACTTAGAAAATAGCAAATAAAAATTTAAGGTGGCAACTATATAAACCATCCAACTGATTTGACACCTTCTAGTGAAGTATTTGAACTTAACACAAAGGCACTGTCAGGCAACAACATGTACATGCATCCAAATTTAGTCACACCAAAGATGCAGTAATATATGCAGATACATGTATCAAATGAACTACATTACAATAAAAATAAAATGTTTTCTTTTCCTTACAATAGCTACCAAGTAAGGCTTCCCAATTCCCTAGTGGCAACTACACCAAATTGTCATCAACATGAACAGTCACTTTGTAAAATGAAAGAATACCAGAAGAAAAGTGACCTAATTTGCTTCCCAGATAGAAAAGAATAACTCGGTTGTGTTGCTTCAACGTCTGGAAACAATCATAGTAGTCAACGGACCCAACCCGAGAAGCAGATCAAATTCTCTCATAATATCTTAATGAGGAAATGGAGGCGATGGAGCATGCTCTCACCCTTTTCCATCTTTCTATCGGGACTTTCTTTTCTAGTAATTCATGATGTGCAGAATTGTCTATTCCAAAAAGAAGTAACTTGAAGAGATATAAGCACTTCCATCGCTAGATATCTATCAAGAATTTGTTGAAACTAAACTATGTTTATGCAACTTTCTTCAATTCCTCCTAAATGTTCTGAACAAATTAATAGTATCTTTTGTTTCATATAATAATAATATGAGGATGAACATTGATACAATAGTAAGGTTGCTTCTTTGTATCTTGGGTGATTTGAGTTTTGAGTCATGAAAACAACCCCTCTTTAGGGAAAAGTTGCATATATTGATCACATTTGCTTCTTTGTAACTTGAGTGATCAAGTTGTGAGTCATAAAAATAACCTCTCTTTAGGATAAAGTTGCATATATTGATCCTTCTTCCTATACCCTTTATTGATGGAAACCTCATGCAACAGATTATATAGTGTATGAATCATATCTACCAAGGTCTGCAATTTCGTACCGTACCGAAGTTTCGACGTTCGCTCAATACGGTACGAAACTGTATACAGAGCAGTATACTGTTCGGTATACCGCTCCGTATATATATATATTATATAATATATATATTATATATATATAATATATATCGTTCTCTCTTCTCCCAAGCGAGGCGACGTCGCCTCGTTTATTTAAATAAATATATATATATAATCCGAAAAAGGCGATGTCACATCGCCGAACGTCACCTTTTTCTAATATATATATATTATTTTATTACTTTTTTTCGTTCCGTCCGGTAGCGGGCGATCCGCATACCGGTATGCCGTCGGACCGGTACGTACCGCCCATACCGGGCAGTATCATTTGGTATTGCCTACCTTGATATTATCTACCATGTTAAAGTTTAGCCTTTATATATACGAAAAAGCTATTTAGATGGACCAATTTAACCTACTCACGCGCTTCATGTGTGGACCCCAAAAATCATGATGTGATAGGCAACGTCATCACCTAATGTATATCCATTCATTCACTAAAGAGCATGCTTTTCTAAGGGACTACATGTTTTTGAAAACATAATTTCAGGAAATTTACCTAATAGTGTTTTAGTTAAAATCAAAAGAATAAGTTTATCAACTACTCTGTAAACAAAGCATGGAAAGATGTGCCATCACCAGTTTCACTTACTTTTAGCCTTTCATGAGCTTCTTTCACAGTCTTCCCATCCTTTTTCTTTCTCCAGTTATGACCATCCTTCCTAAAGTACCTTAACACCTTTCGATCGAAGAGAAACAAAGAACCACCTGAAGCAAAGAAAAAACATGACAAAATTATCCAATACAGAAATGTTACAGAAAACACAGTAGACCTGTGCTTAGCCTTTCGAGTTAAACAGTAATGGTAATATCCATTTCCAGCATTAACATACAGCTCATTTAAAACCTACCGATAAGTTTTATGATGAATAAGCATATAAATAACTTAGAATCAAGTTTGTCCAATATAACAACTGAATACTTGAAATAGAGAGGCAAAAGATAAAGAAAAGACTCTACATTTTCTGTATTCAGTTTTGGTATGACAATAATATTTGTACATATCTTGGCACAAATCATTTAGTTATTTTGGTATCTATCTAGTTACATACAAGTAGGGAAGAACAAAAACGCATTCATGTTATAGATTTTTATCCATACAAAATCAATAGACGCATTTCTTAAACATGATTAACAAGTTCAAAACCTATTGTTCAAGCAATCTCAAAATTCAAGTAACAGTATATTCAAAATATACTGTCCAAGCAATCTCAAAATTCAATTAATGATACAGTTCATAAACTGTCATTAGATGTAAAAGGTTATAGACTAAAGTAAACAATAAATAAGTGTGTCACTAACAAAAGTTGCATGAGATCATACTGGGAGGTCTATTTGGTGGCTCTGGTGCAATATGAAATTTTCTGTGGTTTTGAAGTATTTCACAAATTTCGGCAGGACGTAACCATCGATCTTGTGCTTCCACAAGTATCTGCTCAATATCTGTATTTTCATAATAAGAACATATTATCAGCAGATTAAAGAAAAGAAACGGAATTCAATAATCCTCAAGAGGATGGAAGTAATTCATTTGGTCACCCAAACACAAGCCAATAGAATATATTGATCCATAGTATGCGTGAAGAATTAAATCTTAAGCACCAATACCTTACAGGTCTACTCTCAAACCAATACAATATGTCAATACAATACACTATTGTACAGTATATCACTGGAAAAATAAAAATTGAATCAGTCAAATAGTTTGGTAGAGTCTATAGCATAGGCTGGTAGGGTCAGTATCCTATGATGCTTGAATCCATGCTATGAAATGTTTCTTAAGTTATTGACTTTTTAAGCATATTAGAATTTGATGCAGAGTAGAAAGAGCTAAAGAAATCTTTGGGACAAAATCAAGTGATTGGTACTCAAAATAAATCATTGCACAGTAATAAAAGTAAACATGACCAAGCATAGCATGCCCACAGAAGAAAGAAGATGAAAAATGGATAAGATATCATAAGGAAGTTTGAGAACTTGTACAAATAAATAATCATCTAAATCATAAGATTGCGCCATCTAATGAATGGCCATTTTAGCCCATAGAAACTCTCTTATATATATGTGAAAGGATAGACCAAGTCACAATTCTTCCAGAAGTAAGGAATGTAAACAAAATGGATATTCTATTACTTTGAATGTCATCCTCAAAAAATGAAATCCTCATGATGGTATCATGACTATAACAAATAAAAGCAACACTAGTTGAGCAAGCATGATAACCTAAAAGCTGCCCACAGATAATTCCAAAGCAACAAGGTGAGCAAGTATATAAGATGGTTGTCCAATCTTTTGGGATAAGCAATTAATGCTGTTAGAAGTAATGACCATACAGTAACAATGACTAAAAAATGGACATTTGATATGTGTTATGATATTCCTCTATGCATTAGAGCCTAAAAAATTGTGCACAGCTATAATCCAGGAGGTATTTTGCATAACAACCCAATATAAAGTGGGATATATCCAAAAGTAATCCATGAGGGATATATCAAATTCTTCTAGAACTACATCCAGATAAAAAATCTGTGCTTCAAAAATGAACCAAAGAAAGATCATATGTCCAAACTTCTAATTCTATTTACGGACTTCTTTAACAAGATTATTTAGATGCAACATGACACTGTTCAGAAACAATAATAAATATGCTTTGATATTTCCTACAAATACAAAAATTTCTCGCCCACCAAGAAGAAAGATAGAAGAGAGTGCAACATGGTCTATAAATGTTAGCTAGTAGTAACCTAAACAAACTTGAAAACCTTAACATAAATGAATAGCATGCCTTGGTATTACAGTAAATTTAGTCCAACATAACCTGATATTGGTTCAAATCAAGAAAAGAGTTTTCCCATTATTCCCCAATGTATATGGGTATTTCAATAAATGTAGTACCTAATGATGTAATCTTTATTGGTTGAAATCAAGAAAAGAGTTTCTCCATTGTATATGGATATATTGAGCATGATTAGCCCTTCCCAGTCTCCAAAAGGCAGATGGTTCATAAGTACCTTTCGATACAAGTAATAGACTACCAGAGCAACTTCCAGTTTTAGTTTAACACAGAACCTGGCCCTATCAAGAAATTTAAAACTTGGCAAAAATTCTAAGGAGAAAAAAAGCATCCATATTTTGACAACATTGGAACTCTTTATTAATTTCATAATATGTTCAATCCTGTCATCCATTCTATTTATAGCTATATCAGCCAACAAAAACTCAATGATTTAATTTGAGTTGTCCCTTCTTGATTTTCAATATAGTAAGTAAATGTGAAGTATATGTGCTGTTCCTTATAGTTACCACCCCATCATATATTAAGCACTTTCAACTCTTCCAGCTTACCACTGTTATAACAGGCCAGGCTTTGAATTAATATAAAAAATACATTGTCAATAAGAAATTTCCCATTATACTAGAAGATAATGTTCATGATGTTTGATAAACACAGAAAAAATAATTCACATATTGTTATATGTTTCATCAATCACTCATTTCCTCCTTTTGCAAATACCTAATTGTGCACCGTAACTATCTGAACAGTCTCCAAAGTTTAATACAACACAGAACTAGCTATTATTAAGTCATTGCATTCTCATATTTGTTTCATAAGCACTAATATACCCAAATAGAGAAATTGCAAATATAAAAGAAATCAAAGTATTCACTTTAACAACCTGTTTCATGAATCTGGATGTGATTTGGTTCATCCACATCAATCACATCTCACGATGTATAGAACAAAACAACATCAAAAGCATGTCAAACAGTTGTGGTTGATAAACAAAAGAAACGTATATCTAACCACAGAAACCAATCAACATGCACTCAAACGAGATAGCGAAGGCACCAGTAAACCTTACTAGAGCCAAAATACCAAAATCAAGAAATCACAACCAAGCATCAAGGCAATCAATAAGCTAAATTTCATTCATCATACTCCGAGAAATGGAAAGAGAAACAAAAGAATAAAGAAGGAGCAGATAACTACATACCTAACGGAGGAATCGATCCACTCCGCCCGGCGCCCGCCATCGATCACCCCCAACGCAACAATTCACTTCACTGAAGCCGGACTCGTTCTTCAAAACCCTAGATCCTCATCAGAACCGATCGACAAGTTCCAAAAACGGAAGTACCAAAGCACGAACGATTCCCGTCCGATTTCCAACCTAAATAGCGGGAACCGATCGAAGGAATCTTCCTGGAAGATCTCGGGCTAGGGTTCGTAATCAATCGAAATATATGATTGTTTAAGGGGAAAGAGGAGATTGGTAGAGACAAAAGAGCGAACGTTCGAGGAAGAAGAGGGAGAGAAGAGATGGGGCGAGTCGAGCCGCCGAGTTGGAAATGGGACGAGGATGAAAATATTAGAAGGAGACGACCATTAACGACGGTAGATCGGAACAAGGAGGCGCCTATGTTTATTACGGCATCGATTTCACGGAAATGCCCCTCCCCGTGGATGCAGCCATACCGGACGCGTCGTTACGGGATAAAAAAAAAAAAAAACTGTGCAACCCGCCACTAACTGCTTCATGGTTGGGTAAAACAGTGTCCCCATAGATGAGCCCCGCACGAATCGGTACACGTGTCGATAGGCCAAAGAGCGATGGCGATGGGCGGACAGTCTATTGCGCGAAAGTACGTGTATAAATGTACGCGTAGGGGGGGAGGAGGTGGTGGCAATTACGTTAGAGACGGTTTTCCGTTACGGTAGTCAACCACGTTGCAAGTAGCAGCTTCCCGGCGATGTTGAGATCCGCTCCAATTTACGTGGAGGACTGCAACATTTCAACTGCCCATCTCGGTTGTCCATATTTTCTGTCGTCAAAGATCATCCGTCCGTTCAGCATCGTCAGTTTATCGATCGGTACCCTAATTGAGTTGGAGTTGGACAATTTAGGAGTTAGTCGAGACCAAACCTAAGCAGAACATTGGAGTAATTATAATTGTCGATTGGTGTCTAATCGAAGGAGTTCATCTGTCCTTGTCCGTTACATATGCTCATCATTGGACACTCACCGGGATCCAGCTCATAGATTGGGCTCACGAACAAATTTGATTTGGATGCTTTCATCTCACACTTCACCTCCATGATTTGATGATTTAGCTTCATGGATAATTGATTGGGTGTTGATTTAGTAGTTGCCCTCCAAATGTTGGGTCAAATGCTGCAAAAATTGGGTGAAGTAGTGAGGCTGACACAAGACTTAAAATACCAAACATTTTCCATGCACGAGCATGCGAACGTTCAACGTCCAAATTTATTAATGTGATGGAGACTGCACAACCAAATCAAAAATGGGGCGAGAGTGAATAATTTAGAAGGTGATTGGTAGTCAGCATTCAATTTTTGTGCATCTTCCGACATCACAATCATGTTTAAGAATTCAAATGTAGCTGGCCTATTAAAGACCTGATGTGAAGGGAAAAAGAAGACTCTGAAAAATTAGAATTCAGTTATTATAGAAATGATTCACGTAACTTTAATTTTTGGTAAGGGATGACGCGTGGATGAAAAATACTCTGATTACTCCTAAGGTTTTCTCAGGTAAATTTAGAATATCCGAGAGTAAATTTTTTTTAATGATTTGTGTGAAATAATATACAACGAGATTTGAGTTTAATTTGTAAGTTAATTAAGAGATAATTTAATATTTTATATTTTAATATTAAAATGTTATAGAGAATTAAATTTATTTTTTCATAGTGGTAATAGATAATGAACATCGAACTACATAGATCTTATATCTTTCATTTTTTTTCTAGATTTGTGTTTATTATTATTGATTCTCTAAGTTGTTGCTTTGGTTTCAAGATTTTCTTTTATCACCTCCTACCCACACAATAGCTCATTGAAGTTGAGGATAATGTGGTTCGTTGATAGTATAAAAAGTAATAAATCGAAGGGTCGAGGGTTGAAGATATCATTTAATATTTTTTTATGACTAAAATATTAATTACTCTAGCTGTACAAGATTCACTTACCAAAGTTGTGGCTTTGAAATTTCATCAAAATATTTTTCAAAGATCTACCATTCAGTTGATACAGTGAAGAACGACTTCGATTATCATCAATAAGAACTTAGATGAAATCTTGTCTTCACCCTTTGTCTTTACAAAAGTAAGGTCTCGAAAGAAATCTTGTATTCACCCTTTGCCTTTACCAAAGAAGAATAAGGAAAAAAACAAATAAAGAAACACTGGGAGTAGTGCATATTGTTCAACCATCTGATGAACGCAAAAACAAAGCATTCGTCATTTTTCGTACTTGAAGCACATCCGTCAGCTAAGAACTCCGAACCAATAAGCTCCAGCTTTGGCATGATCCATCTATCTTATCTTCTTGTTGTTCCATCGAGGACAACTAAAAGTGGAAATGGTGATGCCAAATCACTTGAAACACTTTTCCACAATTCACTCTTCACTCTGGTGCATTAATTGATTAGGCAATAACACACAGACCTGATCTTATTCCACGTGAAGTTCAATGGTGGTTAGAAGGGTTAGTCACGCATGTCAGGCCATCAATTTCAAATGCACCCTATAGTGTACTGATAAGGTGCAAAGAAGTACTATTCTTGATCACCATTTCATCAAAATGTTCTATTAGCTTGGTTTTTGGCAATCAAATCTCAAGTTTCATATCTCATTTATTATAAAATATATGATATGATCATTATTTTTAATTAACATGGCATCTAAAATTGATTTTCTTATCAACCCTTTTATCTTCTAAATGATTACAGAAGAATCACTGCTAATATGAAAATGTCTACAAAGAAACATTAATTTGATTATTGCAAGTCTTGTTGGGCGTACCCTTACTTAAATTTTATACTGAAAACAAGATAATCGATTTTTTTTACAAAAATTTTACATCAACCGAGTCTCCTGAACCGTATTAAGCACCAACGAGTTATCAATGTAGAACCAATCACTGTATTTGTTTAAGATGCAGAAGCCATAAGTAACTCTTATGGGCAGACATCTTACTGCAAATAGAAGTTACAAGCACAAGTAAAAGGAAGGTGAATCTAGTCAGCATCAAATGCCCAAACCTATCTTCTTTAGACACGTATCAGATCGTGATATTTTCATCACTCTTCAGTCTTCATGTATCTTCTCTCTCATCCTTCATCTTAACTTTAAGACGTCATGGTATAGACTATGAGAAGGACCAGTAGGGCTGAACACTAATCCCTGCAACCCAGAATCTGGAATCCTGAACGTGGAGGAGCTACGATCCGGTGGATGCACAAACTTGCAGTTGGGGCACGACAAGGCAGCCTCATCACCAGCATCCATGCCGACAGCGGCCACCATATCTTTCGGGTCATCGACAACGTCGAGGGGCACCCATGACGAGAAGGAGAGAGCTTGTAAGGTTGAGCTAGAGGTCGAGGTCAAGGTCGAGACTCGATGGTGACCTTGCTGGCGCTGAGCTCAACCTCAGGTCTTTGGAGGTCCTCCTGTGCGTCCTGTTATTGTAGAAGTGTATCTTCCGCGACTGTCACGTGGTTACTCCCCTTTCATCTCCTAGTAGAATCACACAAGTCTCTTTACCATAATATTGAGAGACAATGCTTGTTAAACTATGTGGCTTAGAATATGTAGTCTTTTATAATTAGATAAGATATATTATAATTCTAATTAGATTATGTGACTTAGATTATGTAGTCTTGTATAATTAGAAAAGATATATTATAATTTTTATTATATTCTGATTATAATTATCAATCAATAAAAAGAAATTATATAGCTAATTACATATTATCCTAGTGCTTATGCTTTCAAAAGTTACATTGAGATCACTTGTGAAAGTGAAATATTTAACCGTGTTGCTCCAACAAAATCCTTCTATCTCTCTTGATTTTTAATCTTATGACGTTATCATTTTAATATTGTAAATAGATCTCAATGTTTCACTTTCATAATTATATGGATCCTAATATAACTTTTGAAAGTTTAAGAACTAAGGTATTAAAGATAACTAATTATAAGGATAATATATAATTAACCCAAATTCCATGTATGATAGGATTTCTGAAGAGATGATATTGATTAGAGGGACTCTCCTAATCAGTTATTCTAAATGCTCTACTCTCTCTATCACACATGATATGATATGATACGATACAACATGATCAAGATTGTACATTTATTATTATATCCCTTTAGTTCTTATTCCATCTCTCATAGTGATCCTGTGAAAGATAAAAAGAAAGAAGAAGGTGAGTTAGTTCTTTTTGCAAATCGATGTTATTACATTCTACTTATTGAACTACGGAATGTATTCTATAAATCAAATAAATGTATTCTGAATGGTATCGAAAGGTACACATCCTAATCTTGATTTATTATTATTTGATCTTAAATTATAACATTAAATTTATTCCACATAATAATATGATTATGATTTTATGCTTATAATTGATATTAAAACCTATTGTTTTAAAATCAAATACCTTAAATCATGAAAGTATATAGATTTATTTTGTATTTAACCTTTACTTGTGAAAGGGTGATTTTTGTTCCATGTTTAAATCACATGATGGATGCACTATTCAATCTATTTGTTTTGTGTTCTCCGTGCCTACTTGTGGGTGATGTAGGTTTACTCATCCACACAAGTGGAGTTGCAAACGAGAGTTGCGACCCTATCCTAGTTAATGTACTACATCGCTATCTTAGTGTTATTGACAGTACTATGTGCGTTGGTACGAGTGTTAGCCATAGGTATCTTGCAAGTTAATCACGTAAGTAATGACATACGTGACACGTTACATAATCTTTTTTTCTTATTATTATTATTAGTATTTTCTCACTTTATGTTGTATGTTGCAGTTAGGATCAAGTCGGTACTAAGAGGGGGGGGGGGGGGG